CCTCCCTCCTCCTTCAACCCCCCACCCTCCCCCCCCACCCTTTCTACACCGCAACCCTCAGACATGGCTGGTCCTGACCTAAGGTGATCCTCCCCCCTCCCAACCACCCTTGATCCCCCTAAAAATTTATTAAAACACCCCTTTAAAAAGAATCTTAATTTGGCCAATTTAAATGATTTTCTATTAGCACCCGCAGCATGCCACCTCTCGGGGTTCCAGACCCCATCCTCGAGGTGGGCCCTTGTGATCTTAATGGGCCAGGCCTGGAGAATTATGGGAAAGCTGGGGCTTCTTTTATGCAGCATCTTCAACAGAAAAGAGGAATAAGAAGCCCTTGGAATTATCTCTGTTCCTAGTCTTATGTGTGCAGACTAAATTGCATGCTTACAATATAAGTATTATTTGCTTTTCAATTACGCAATTCCTATTCATTAGGTATCTCTTGCCCTGCAGCAAGCAATACGGCAATGTGGCCCTGGTTTTGTATCTGAACATCTGAGTGGTTCATAAATGATAAGGTAGTACCATGGCACCAGACCTGGAATGAATTGAAGAAGAGTTCACAGTGCATCCGGATCTCCCAGCCTAACCCAGTGAACGTGTGAGGTAGGCACACAAAGACAATGTAATGCACACCAAAGACGAGGATCAGAATTAAAGTGGATTTTGCTAGTTTTCTGAAAGAAAGTTAAGAGAAGTTATAATTATGAGACTGCCACATGCTGCATCAAGTGAACATGATATAAATTGCAATCTTATACATTCCAAGGGTACTTGCCAAAGGGGAATGTATAAGTTTGGACAAACCAGAGTCACTCATGTGGAAGCTCTACCTCAGAGGTCCCCAACTTTTTTTTTTGCTTTGCAGACCAATGGGGGAGGGGAGGGGGGAGAGAGAGGGGGATGGTTTCTCGTACATGGTGGGCAAGCGGGTGCATTTGCAACTCATTTGCAAGAGCACCCGGCAGGTGCACCTGCCGCTCACACAAATGGAGTGTGCAAGTGCCTGCACTTCCCACTTCCGCAGCTCAGTTCTGAAAGGCTCAAGGCCTGGTAGTGGACCATGGCCCAGGGGTTGGGGACTCCTGCTCTACCTGGAATATTTGATGATCTCACTCAAGGCCTAGAAATCTGTATAGGTTGGCCTGGTTAAACCACAGACCAAAGATTTCCTATTCTTCATTTTGATGCTGGAGAGAATATTTCTGGAGTTGTTTGTTATGATGCTTGTCATTCTTCCTATTGCTTTAATCTCATGACTATCTTTTCCTGTACAGTACATACACTCTTTGTTGCAGAATTGAAACAAGAGTAGCAATTTACCATTCAGAACATTGCTGCTTATTTTGCTTTAGCTTTGATTTTATCAGATAAACATAGTTAAATATGGCTTATATCATTGCTTCACATTTTTTTTCTCAAAGGGTAATTGGTTTGCAGCATGGAACTTGGTAAAGCATATTTATTCATCCATCCCTGCAATGTCTGGCTTTAATTAACTTGATAGCAAGACTCAAAAAAAAAAAGTAACAACACACCCAAAGGCTTCTAGTTTTAATTGGGAGCCCCAGTTTACAAAGATTGGTGAACTACAAAAACACATTGTATAAAAGCATAGCATGTCAGCAGCTTATCCTGGGTGAATATTAATTTGATCTTTTTATTTCTATTTGTGTGCAGGGAGTGTGTGTGAGAGGAATGTCTTGGTCTATTGTTTTCAATCTGATTGTGAATTGTGATTTGACAAACAGATATTAACAGTTACATGAGAGGACTTCAAATATTTGGAAACCTTATTATGAAATAGATTTACAATCTGTCTGCATCTCATCTATATGTGTTTCTGTATCTGTGAAGTTACATATTTAAAATCCTTACTTTCAAGTTGGTCAAAAGAGACACAGCATGCCAGGGTATTGTAACAATAAATTTTAGATTTCGTCATCATCTCTTTTGCGTAGTAATCCCTTTTTATTCATCAAATACAACTGGAAAATCCAGATAATAGAACTGCCAGTCCATTAACTGGCAGGAATCTAACACATTCATGAATCTTCATATAAAACTGGCTTGAATGTGATTACTATTAGATAAGCCAACAAGAAGAAAGAATATACAGATTGTTTGGGCAATTATGGTGAGGAAGGGCCATCATTCAGAAATCAAGTGGTTCCTTGCATGCAGAAGGTTCAATTACTATATTTTTCAGAGGAGACTAATAAAGATCATTGTCTAAAATCCTGGCGAGCTAGATGAAAAAAAAGGTTTATTCCCTAGAAGACTGCTTTTGTTCTCAGAAATTGCAATTGTGGTTTCATTAGTCCTGGATTATTATGCAAAATAAGTACATGCTTAGAGAAAGAAGGGAAGTGGGCATCACAGAGTTTTATTCCACTAGCTATCATGCTCTTAACTCTTTCCTTGCCACATTCAAGTTTTATTCAGCACTTACTGAGTCAAAAGTCTCCCATAGAAGAAAATATTTGTAACTCATGATTAAATTATGGGGACCTTGGTGCTCTCTGAACTTGATGGTTTCCTTGCAGATGTTTGACTGCTGAACTAGGTAACATCATCAGTGCACTGTTGATATTATTTAGTTTGCTAATGAAATGTCTGCAAGAAAATCACCAAACTCATAATGTCTCATCAGTGAAGCAATGGAAGGGTTCTGCTTAGGACATCAGTTGGCCTCAATATGTTCCTGGCATTAATCAATTCAGCAGCACCCCAACATAAGTTAGGTTCTTCTAAGTCGTAGATTAGTAATTCTATGAAGACAATATTGGCTTTCTCTTCCTGTTAACATGTGTTCCTTTTCTTCTCTTTCTAAATAGTTTCCAATATTCAAGAAAAGCTTTTATGAGTCAATACGTATTGGCAGAATTACTAAGAAATAATTGCATTTTGGTGTGGAAATACAGCTAAATACCCCTGAAGATGAAGACATGAAAGATAATTTGATTATAGAATATATGTTTCACTGTGTTACTCTGCTGCTTCTATAATCATTTTTAGAAAGACCAGAATCGGAAAGGAGTCTGTCAAACACTGAAATGTCTAGATTTAAATCAAATTCTGCAGCCAATGCCAGGAGTCAAAAATGATTCAGCTTTTCCACAAAATATCTGCACTTTCTTTTTAGTTTAATTTCATGCAGAGCTTGGTGTACAAAACATGGCTGGATGCATCCCGGCACGGCTGGTTTCCCTCCCCCCCGTCCCATCCCTCCTGGCCTCGCATGCTCTTCTTTTCCCGGGCATGCACTTGCTGGCCTCTGTGTGCGGGGGCCGATGGTGTCAGGCAGCAGCCACCCCGGCCCTTGCCTTGCCCCATGGCAATGGCACTCCCACCCTGCCTCGCCTCACCCTGCAGGACGAGCCTCCTGCCTACCGCCCCACCTGCCAGAGACCCCCTGGATCTCCCCCAACCCTGCCCACCCCCCACAGGTGTCCCTCCCACGAGCAACATTGAGGTAACCACACCCACCTTGGCCACACCCGCCCAATCTGCCATGACCACCATAGCCACGCCCACCCAGTGGGCCATGCACACATGGCACCTGGAGATAAATAAGTGAGGTTTAGGTTGCAGTTTGGGCACTCAGTCTCTAAAAGGTTCGCCATCACTGTTATATATAGTCCAGCCATGTGAGAAAGTAGAGAAATTGTCTTTGCCTTTCTTTTAATACAACCAGTCCTTCAGGAGTCTAACTTGGCTTTTCTCCAGGCAAACGATAACCAAGATATTTCCAAATAGAAGACTTCTTCATTACAAGTAAAAAAAAACATTCTGTCTGACCAAGTCAGTTCTAGTAGAGACTGCTTCTAAAAATAAACCATACCTATATTGCTTTCTGACATCGTAGCCAACAGCATTTGTTTCCCAAATTTTTGTGGCCAGCACCCGCACAGTATTCAGGAAGAGGACAAAGTTCAGCTGTAAAACAGAATTGTTTTATTCCATCATCTTTTAGAGGTATGTTTTCGAATGTTTTGAGGATGTATTTCAACACTTTCTTATATGTGGAACATAATATTGTCAAGATGACCAGGTGGCAAAACTGAACTAGTATAAAAAGTCCAGAATCTGTATCTAACCACTTCCAATATTAGTATCCCACCTATCTAGGAAGCTCTCCAATTTTGATCTCGGCTGTTGCACAGCTCTGAGAAGCTCGTTGAAAAATACATGACTCAGCAAAATTTTGAATAAAAGTGGCCAAGATAGTGACAGCCACATTTATTTAACTGCTTCCTAGACTAATTCCTTTATTAAATCTCTGATCTCTATATTAAATAATAAATGGTCTCATAATTGCCAAAATGCCACTTTTCTGAACTTCACACTGAGAACTGTAAGGGAGCAAAGCTAGAACAGTCTTTTCCATTATGAAAAAATAAATGATGCATCACTGCATTGGAGCTGGGTAGAAAAACCAGTGTATTTACAATTCCATTTGCAACTAATTGCAACAAAAGCAATGCCAACAGTGTTGAGTTACCCTGCTGTCTTAAGTGAGCCAGACCAGGAGTTGGCACACAGGGGTTGGAATGGGACAACTCACCATGGCCAACTCGCCACAGGACAACTCGCTGCAGCAAAACTCAACATGGAATGACTCAAGAGAGGGACAAGTAGAATTGCAGCTCACCCCAGCCTTGAGGACTTCTAACTTGAGAAGGCTCAAACATAAAGCAAGACAAGGCCTGCTGCAATTCACTTGTCCCTCTCTCGAGTTATCCCGTGGTGAGTTGTCTCGGGATGAAACGGCCAGGGTGAATCAGCCAGGGCAAGTTGGCTGTCGCAAGTTGGCCACAGCGAGTTGTCCTAGAGGGGTGATGGTGAAGCAAGATTCATCCCAAGAGATGCACCAGCAGTGTGCATGCCCGACAAAGCAATGCACCTTGCACCTTAAAGTACAGAATAAGACTTTGAGAAATACAACATATGTTAACTGCATCTTTTACTTTTTAAAAAAGAGGAAATGTAATTTTAACTTTCAACAGGCAATTTAAAGTGGCAGCTTTAAAAGGATGTGCAGTTCAGTGTTGAAATAATTCAAGCAGCTCAAAAGAATAAAAAGCAGTGCAATAACTTGGCATGTGTGCCAGAGAAGGAGTGTTTTGTTCTCACATATCAAAAGCAGTCACAGCATCTCACTCCTAATTGTGACATAAAATGTCATCTCCTGTTCTATAAAGTACAACAAAAAAGAAAGCATCAATTAAAGTGATTGCTCAGCTCTTTGCCAGCCAGAATGCTTTCTTGCACAGGGACAAAACTGTCCAGGGGTATGGAAACGGAATTATCAAATGAGAGCAAGCTCCTGGATTAAAAAAGAAAACAGCAATACTGTAGCTGCGGAACAGATCTGATTGTAATAAAGCTAGTTTTAAGCCATCTCTTCTCCTTTCCCTTGAAAGACTGGAAAAAGAGGAAGAATTTCAACTTTCAGACTTTCTTTAACAGTAAGAACATAGAAAACTATCTTTAAGGGAAGTCAGATGTTCCCACACAGAATTATTGTCTGCCTGCTAATGGAGATGATGTGGGATAGTGTCAAAACCCTGTTGGTCTCTCATAGTCATTAGAAAAGGGTAGAAATGCTAATCTCATTTTATACATAACATTATTTTGCAATTGTCTAAAGATAAACACTAGGGTTATCATAACTGATCTGCATTTTCTATATCTCTTTGCTACCATCCAGCATTTTGCAGATCCTAATATATACAACAATGTTCAATGTTTAATACACACACACACACAAACACACACAAGTAATCTTACCCCAATAGCTACTAAAATTGGAGTTTGATATATCCATTTTATATTTCCAGCATTAAGCTCCCAGCATCTGTGAAATCAAAAATCTATTTTTAATAAACAGAGTAAAAATAAACAGTCTCAATGTATATTCATTTTCTGTTAAGATTCATTCTGGAGAGTGTACAGAATAAATTTCAGAATTTTAAAAAGGATTTCGGGTTCATTCAACTGTAATAAACCAAGGCAGATTTCTGGGAGAAGAAGAATAAATATATATGTCAAGTCCCATCTTTACTGTGAATCTGGAAAAAATAAGAAAACCAAGGTGCAATTTTCAGAAATAGTAAAATAATAAACACTTTTTCTTAGTTGGACTAGTTTTGGGATGGAAGGTGGAGGGTTCAAATATCGGAATGTCCAGCTAAAGTCTGAAAAAATATGTGTGGAGGAACATGTGCGTGTAGGGGGAGGGTTTACAGTTTCATTCTGATCCCATTCACCTTATATGTGTTTTTAGGGCTAGTTGTTCGTTTTACTTATTAGAATTGGCTCTAGTAAAATAAAAAGAGAAGTGGCATTCAGTAGCTTACGTGTGGCTTAAAACAGAATTAAAAATGTACTATTATAAACCGAAACTAGAATACACTTGCTTGAAAGATAAAGAATGTGAAAAGTCCAAGGGAATTTTTTTTTTAAAAAAAACCTCCTGTTGTTGCTAAAATAGCCCAGTAAGCTTTTCTATGTTGGATATCCAATAGGGCAAAATATTGTAACCATTAAGCCACTTTCCCTCTTTGTCCTCTGCCTCAATTCTGCTGTTGGGGTTTTCTGGTATTGACTGTACTCCAATGTTCAGTGCCTGCCCAGCCAGCTGTGAGAGGAGACCACCAAAGAGGTCTGGGTCCTGAACATTCCAAGAGATTCAAAGAGGGCCATCAACTCTAACTCAGAAATGAACTGGGTAAAAAAGAACAAACCATTTAAATGGAATTTACTTCTTTAGATTGATTCCTGTGGAGCATATCACATCTTCAAAGGACTTGTTGCAATTGAGAAATACACCACTGCATTTTATGAATCCAGAAAATAGATTTATGCCTGGCTAAGGATGCAGTTCACATAAATGTTTTCTATAGAGATGTTGAACTAATTTGAGGAAATAAAGCAAAAAAATCAGGAAACAGCTTTTCATTGAAAAAAATGACACCACAAATTCTCACTGATCTAAAATTAGTATCAGCTACTTCTGCATAGCAAACAATAAATGTGTCAGATGCTGAAGTATGGGGTAAACAATGGCTACTTCCTGATGTAAAGTACCTCTTGAAGTGAGGAATTATGTACTGTCCTTCTTAGCTGTTTTTCATCTGAAACTTTACCCACTAAGGTTTTTTACGTCTATCTTAAAGCTATGGACTAGCTAGCACATTTGGAAGGCAAGTGCAGCAGCAAAAGGCAATTGGAAAGGGTTAAACATATGGTACAGATGCCTTAAGAATAGAAAATCAATACATTTTTTTAATCACTCAGTACTAAAAGTTGTAGCTAAAACTGGAATCATCCACACCTTATTTTCAACCTCTGGAGGCTATGAGATTCAATTCAGGGGCTATTTAAGCATACTGAAAACCATTTTGGTCTAGCGGTGCTGGGTAAGAAACCAGGAGACTAGAGTTCTAATCCTGACTTAATCATGAAAGCCAGTTGGGTGACTTTGGGTCAGTTACTGTCTCTCAGCCCAAGTCACTTCACAGGATTGTTGTTGTGGGGCAAATAGGAGGAGGAAGGAGTATTAAGTATGTTTACTGCCTTGAATTACTCATAAAGGTGGGATAAAATCTAATTAAAAATAATCTTCAGATAGTTTGGATCTTAAAACCTGATTTACAGATTACTTTTTCACAAATAAGAAAAACATATCTGAAAAAACAGCTGGGGATTCTATATCTCTAGGAAAAGATTGTGAGACTAGAATAGCCACGGTGAATAAGTCAACGTCTTTTAGAAATGAGGTGACTATTTGAAGTTGGATGGTAAAAATGTGATCATCCTGGTTTCATTAATAAAGCCACCCAATTTGAATATTGGCATCCCAGTTGAAGTTGCTCCTGTTCAAGTTGTTGCTTACACTGACCTGCATTACTTGGACCTAGAGATCCTGTGATGTTTAATTCTCTACAACCTCAGCCAACAAAAGACAGCCCTTGCTGCATAATCTAGAAGGCTGTGGAAGGCATCCAACACCATTAAAGTTGAGAAAGTGATATCTGCTTCAATTACTTAGAATTCCCAATGTTCAACAGTATAGGAACTATCACTATTTTTATTTTATAGGGCCACTTACAAGTTCCACTTCATCCTAGAAACTGATCTCTATGAAGACTCTTTCAATACACAAGCAACATGAGCTCTTTTTATACGCAGGTGTACCTCATTAAGGCTTCATAGCATTTCCTCTAGTTCATCTCTGCCTCCTAACAAGCTACTGGAAATGAGAGAGAGAGTTTAACATGGGGGGGGCAGAATTCTGGTGAACCTGGAAGTTTGCTTGTTAGTTTGTGCTGTTTTATTTTGTGCTGATTAAAGCATTCTATTCCTGTTTGGATTCTACAACTTGTCCTGCTATAACATAATGAAAGGGAGCAGCTGTAGCGAATAGCTGTCTGACATTTCAGTACTCTGAGAAGCATTACTTTTCTACAGCAACATTAACACTAAGGAAAGAGAGAGTATTACTGTGCAACAACTGGCTTCCTTCCAGTTCTCTGAATATTTATGAGTTTTAGTGCAACTCCTCCTTGGGTAAAATTCAGGTTTTCCTGAAATCAGAGTCTATCAATCTAATTTTAGGTGGTGGGTACACATTTCTTATAAAGGAAATGAATCTTTAGCAACCCAGATTCTTTGAAACTCGGATTCTCTTCAGAATTAGGATGAGATAGATGGGTGTCTAGAAACCAACTGCTTTCTGCTCATTGCTGTGTAGTATAAAAGAACAAAACTCCTTTCCATATAATTGAGTTACAAGAAAATGCAGCATGTCCCCAACAACCACAATTAGCATGGAGCTAATAACTGTCCATAATAAGATCATAAACACAACTTTGACTCTTCTACCACTTCAGAAGTTTACTTCTCACTCCTCCCCAAGTAAATACATAATTAGGACAAGGTCTAGATATAATAATTTAAAAATCGGTTTTAATCATGAAGGGACAGATATTGTTTAACTCTTTTTAACTGGGCATAATTGTGTCACTATCAAAGCATTAGCAGTGGCCATTTTTTTCATCACAAATGTTTAAAAGAAAAACCTTCTACAAAAGCTTGGCTGCTGTCCTGAGTGCAAAATCCTCCCCCTTTAAAAGTGCCAGATAGGAGACCAAAAAAAAAAAACACACACAGAAAGCTGGTGGTGGCATTTTACTAAGAACTTTATCCTCTTTAGGGTGAGGAACTATGGATGGTGGAGGTGGAAACGATGGGCAAAGAGATGCTAAGGTCCAGTCCTAGTGGCAAAGTTCAAGGAGGAGGCAAGAGGCAGTGAGAATCTCTAAGCTGCTCCTTTCAGATTTGTTGCTGAAACCTTCACAGCCATACATAAGAAAATAATATTGTCAGAAATAGCTCTTTGCAAAGAATAGGCAAGCACAGCCTGATATATGACAAAATCATCCTCCCACACATATCTTTTTAAGAGCAATAAATGATTTAAATGCCATTTTCCTTCCTGAAAAAAATGTATCACAAGAAGAGTTCATTCTTTTAAAACATTTTTTAGAAAATTACATATTCTAACTTTTTCTCCTAATAACATTTTGGTAATTTTGATAAGCCTTAAAGATGTAAAGTGAGAACTGAGACATATAAAACATTTCTAAAGTACTGTTCCACTGGAAGAAGTGTTAACAACAGGTAGTTACTTATCTTGATAATAATGGTGTTAGATCAGCCTAAGGGCAGAGAATGCAATCCCTTTTCTGAAACTAAGCAAACCTGGGTAATCATCAGGGCCTTAGATAGGGAAGCTACCTAGAAATGCACAATGCACTTGCCTTCAATTACATAATTTGTGTGCAGTAAATGAATAGATTTGGTTTCCATAGTGCTTAATTCTGCCTTATTTGCACCTTTTGTAGTGAGTCTTTAAAGAAATTCTTTGATGCTATTCTTAAGAACATGTCATATTAGTTTCAGTTGAGGAGGCCAGGGGATGTAAACAAGACATTTGGATTAAATAAGATTAAACCAGTTTTTATCCAAACCAATTCCAGTAACTTTCACTAAATCAGATTGACTGAATGGACCTATAAATGCTGTTTTGTAATGCGGAATGGTCCAGATGTTTTAAAACTGGCATTTATTAATTTATTTTTAAATCCTGTCTTTATTACTTTTATAAGTAACTCAGTGCAGTTAACACACATAATACTCCTTCCTCCTATTTTCCCCACTCTGGGAGGTGAGAAAGGATGGGCTGTGAGAGTGAATTTGGCTGGCTTTCATGCTTAAAGTAGGACTAAAACTCATAATCTCCTGGTTTTTAGGCCAGCATCTTAACCATTACACCTTAAGAAATTCTAGACTATAACTATTATCCAATCTCAAGTTCCTTCTTCTAGGTTCTTTTTTAATGAAGCGAATTACATGGACTCCTAATTTTTTATCTAGGCTTGGTACCAAAAATAGCCTGATTTTCTCTGATAGTTTTGAAGACTCTCCAAGACCTATCACCATCTTTGATGACTCTGGTTAAAGTATATTGGTAGCATCATTAGTGAGCTATATGTGAAGGCAGGACACAATTATTTCACTCTGATCTTTAGGAGAAAGTTTCAAAAGGCAGAATTAATGACCATTTTAAACAGATTCTATAGAACCTTTTTGTGGGTTCCTGTGACATTCTATCCTATGTCCCACATTCTTAAAAACCTATATGAAGCTCTTGGATGAGACCAGCCAAAGGTTTTTAGGCTGGCTGAAGTGTCATCAGTCTGCTGTAACATTCGATCTATCAGACAAATAAGTTAGGTGAGGATGGTGAACTAGTGTAAAGACTGTGAAATTAGATGAATGAAATCATTAAAC